CCCCCCCCCCCCCCCCTCCCCCCCCCCGCACACGCGACGGAACCCTTCTCACTATGTCTCGAAAGGGACGGCGAGCAGCACTTCACATGTGGGGGCGGCGGCCGAGATTGGACGGCGAGTCGAAGGGCGACCAGCTCGACGTGTCGGACGAAACCGAGCACGCGAGAGTGAAGTCGGTTGCGGACGGAGGTTTCTTGGTGAGAGGGATGAAGGTTAGGGAGGGAGGGAGGGAGGGAGAGAGTCACAGGAAGGAAAGGGAGATAGGCAAAGAAAGAGAGACAGACATCCAGGCAGGAAGAGACAAAGACAGAGAGAAGAGAGGGAGACAGACAGGCAAGACAGGCAGAGCAAAGAGGTAGATACAGGGAAAAATAGGTTCTGTGCACCGGGTCGGAGCGCTTCAGGTAGAGAGGCAAGGGCGTAGGGTAACTAGAACTGCCGACGAGTCGTCGTCAATCAACAATCCGTGGAAGAAAGGACCGAGTTGGTAGAAACTTTTGCGTCGCATCCAGTAGCCACGCTTGTCGTCTGTGGTCGCGAGCGAATCGGAAGCAGCGGCCCCGTGGTGGCACCTCCCCGCCTACCGTAGGTTGGGTAAGATACCACACACCCCAGGACCGATTTCAAGAAGCTCGACTACTCCATGGACGAAGGGGATGACAAAGTCAAGTGATGCATTTCCGGAAAGCTCTCGACGAGACAGCTCCGGCACCGCAACGTCACTGCTGTTTTAGCAGCAGAGTGTTCGAGCTTTGCGAAATTCGGTCCAGGGTGTGTGGAACCTCATGCAGCCTACGGTGCCTACCTACCTTTTTGTGAACATCTTTTGTCTTTCCCTCTCTTGTTTGATGGACATACCGTGGGCGGCGGCTCCCTTGTTTCGAACGTTTTTTTGCTTCTCGTTCCTTCGCTTCCTTTCGTGGGTCCTTTTGCGTGTTTGCCTCCCTCCTCTTGACGTCTCCTTTCCTTCGCAGTTTGTCGGTTCTTCGGGATTCCTTCTTCGTGCTTGCCTCCCTCGTCTTGACGACTCCTGTCCTTCGCCGTTCGTCGGCCCTTTGGGATTCCTTCTTCGTGCTTGCCTCCCTCGTCTTGACGACTCCTTTCCTTCGCCGTTCGTCGGTCCTTTGGGATTCCTTATGCGTGTTTGCCTCCCTCGTCTTGACGACTCCTTTCCTTCGCCGTTCGTCGGTCCTTTGGGATTCCTTGTTGCATTTTTGCCTCCCTCGTCTTGGCGTGTTGTCCTTTTGCTGGTGACGCGGCGTTTGTAGGGACGCGAGTCGGAGCAGCTGTTCCCTTACGGCATCTACACCATCCCCGAGGTGTCCATGATCGGGAAGACGGAGGCGCAGCTCACGGCTGAGGGGGTGTCGTACGAGGTGCGGTTTGTGACCCGCTAACGGTCGTAACCGTTTTTTTTTTTGTAAAACCCTTTCTGTCGATATTTGTATCATACTTCATATTGAGCCCTAGAGATATTATGTAGCTGAGACGTTCGGATGAAAAGCAGCACGAGTGTTTCGCGTCGCCGTTGATGGTCTGCATCACCACGACCATGATATGGTACAAACGTCGACAACAACGGTAGCAGCAGTATTACCACCACCACCATCACCACCGGCGAACAACTCGTCCCGAAATCAACCCGACCGCAGTGGGCCCACCACACTCAAACGGTATATTAGATTTTCAAGAAACCGCAGAGATAAGTTGGTGTTGACACCACTCCCATCCTATGTACCGGGTTCATCTCATCCCACGCCATATTATCACCGCCCCAGGTCGGGCTCGCGGACTACCAGGAGCTAGCAAAGGGGCAGATGCTGGGAGGGGCGGACGGGTTCCTCAAGCTTATCTTCCATACCGAGACCCTCAAGCTGCTCGGCGTGCACTGCATCGGCGACGGAGCGACCGAGATTATCCACATCGGACAGGCGAGTTTAATTATGGGATAACCTTGATCGCGAGCGCCAACGGTACTTGGAAATTGTTTGTTGTGCATGGAAGTTGAAGATGAGCTAGTCACATGTGGCAACAACGTAAATGTGGGATGGTCTTTTTTGGACGCATAACTGTGGTGTTGGTTAGGGCTAAGACCACACCACAGCAACGGGACACAGAGGAACTGATGGGGAGCCCTGCGCTGCTGTGCTCTATCGCGCAGCGTTTGGAGCTCCAAGCTAGCAATCGCTTGCCGCTTTTGACGCCTAGAAGAAGGCTAGGCCACGCTTCATTTTTCCTTTCCAACGGGTCCGTTTTATTTCCGTTTACCTTTTTTGGGTAAGTTAGCCTGTGACCACGGGAATCGACCGCGTCAAGTGTTAGACTAGTACGGGCAGAGGAAGGTACTGGGTAGAGAGATCGGAACGGTTTTTAATGTAAAGACAACAACAACAACAACAACAACAACAACGGCGAAAATCTTATCAGCAGGCGGAAACTTGCGAAGGAAGTTGATGCCGAGCGCCCACGATCACTGACATCCCCACCGGAAAAGAAAAACAGCATCTCGTCGCCCTTCCGTCTTGCCCTTGTAGCCGAGCTTGAATAAGGCGGTGACATTTGGGAATAGCCTGAGAGAGACGCGTTGGCCTGCCGACAGCTCAGGGTGGTCGCTCTGCCCCCCTACTCCATCGCCGTTAGGCTATTTAGATCTTAGATCGTCTGTCCTCCTGTTGCCCTTCGCTGCTAACGTGCGCTGGTGCGCTCTCCCCTCCCCCCTAATACGTTCGCCCTTAGCTATTTTGATATTTTATTGTCTCCCCCCCTCTTGCCCTCTTCGCTGCTAACCTAACCTCCCCCCCCACCAAAAAAAGGTGGTGATGAGCCAAGGTGGAACGATCGAGTATTTCCAGACGGCGGTGTTCAACTTCCCCACCCTGGCCGAGGCGTACAACGTCGCCGCCGCCGACGGCCTGCGAAAGGTAGACCACGAGCTCGGCGAATACTAGACGCTGCTGCTGTTGCTGTTGCTGCTGTGCTGTCGAGGCAGTTGCCCAACAACAGGGCAGGTGAGCTTTAGTCAAGCGAGGGTCCCTGCTGCACACATCGGGCGGTTGCCCGACCAATCAACCACGGAGCCTCGGGAGTTGTGTGAAAGTGGGCATTGGTGGCGTGCCCTCCTAGTGGAGAGACATTTGCCCATGTGCGTCGGTTTTGAACCAGTTTCTTATTACCAAGTTTTGCTGATCTCTGCTGCGGTGTAGTGGTGGGCTTTTTGCCGCCGCCCAGCCCACGCGGCACGGTATGCGCCCGCGCTCTATACGTGTAACGTTCAAAGCGGAGGAATGAGTATCCCATTGGTTCATTCGGTTCAAGTATTGTTGAGTCATTTAGTACGGTATGTGCGTTCCGGGGTGTCGGCGAGAGGGGCGTCGAAATCTTGCGTGGGGCGTTACCCCTGTTGCACGGGCAATGGTGGGAAACGCTTCCATAAAGGTTCATCGGAAAGAAATCGCCCCCCCCCCGCAGCTCTGCGAGCATCACGGTGCTCTATTAAGCAACAGGGTCGTTCGCCATGCCCCCTTTCCTCACACTTTCAGACTGCTACTGTAAGGAGTTTTTTACTACGTGCTACGTTCGTCAAAGGGGGTACAGACGTTCTCTACGGGTTTGTTACGCTGCGGGTTTGCTTGTCCCGCCGTAAAAAAAGGCGCAAGTCGCCGGAGTTTTGTTGCCTTGGCCATGTTGTGGTCGTCGAGTTGGGTGTTTAGGGGGCGTTTTTGGTCGTGTGGGGAAAGGTGCACCGATCCCCCCCCCGCCCCCCCACGCTCCCGTTGCGAGACGCCATTGTTTTCGCAGACAGCTGCTGCTGCCGCATGAGCGTCGGGCGGCTGACGCCTGTGCAATT